ATCATACTCAAATATCAGTTTTAAAGATAAATTTGAATGGTAAGCAGCAGTCCTTTAAAGAAAAATACATTCATGAATCTGAGATAGGCAAAGTTATTTTTTAAATGGGACATTAACAGCAATAACCATAAAGGTTATTGTTAAATTAGACCACAAAAATATTAAAATCTTCTATTTAAGAGTACCTGAAATGTAATGTTTTGGAGTAAAATAGACATTTTGAGATTCGATGGTTGTTTACAGCCCTCGTCTCTTCCATTGATGAACAGTGATATATTTTTTTCTTCATACTATTTGTTGAACTCTTTTACTAAGTAAAAATCATTGAATAAACTGAAAATAGATCTTTTGTAAAAATTAAGAATGAGAATATGAGAGGGAGGAGAAAGAAGGGTTGGAGTATATGCAGGAGGAAGGGTAGGGAGGAAAGTGTCACTACGTTCCTGAACGTATATGTATGAAATACATGAAACTTGTATAACTTAAATAAATTTTTTAAAAAACTTATATTATATGAAAGACCCCATTGGGAGGTGAAAAGACAAACTACTAAATGGAGACTATAACATTTACAAGTCACAAGAGACTTCTATCAGAACCTGTGATGGAACTCCTTAAAAATAAATTTGAAGGTCGGTGCCGTGGCTCAGTAGGCTAATCCTCCGCCTGCGGCGCCGGTACACCCGGTTCTAGTCCGGGTCGGGGTGCTGGATTCTGTCCCGGTTGCCCTTCTTCCTGTCCAGCTCTCTGCTATGGCCAGGGAGTGCAGTGGAGGATGGCCCAAGTGCTTGGGCCCTGCACCCCATGGGAGACCAGGAGAAGCACCTGGCTCCTGGCTTCAGGTCAGTGCAGGCCACAGTGTGCCACCAGAGCGGCCATTGGAGGGTGAACCAAAGGTAAAGGAAGACCTTTCTCTCTGTCTCTCTCTCTCTCTCTCACTGTCCACTCAGCCTGTCAAAAAAAAAAAAATAAATAAAATAAAAAATAAATAAATTTGAAAACAAAAGACAGCCCAATAAAACAATAAGAGAACTGAACAGACATTTCAGAAGATGATAATCTAATGGAGATTAAATAAATAAAAAGGACATTGGCCGGCGCCGCGGCTCACTAGGCTAATCCTCCACCTTGCGGCGCCGGCACACCGGGTTCTAGTCCCGGTAGGGGTGCCGGATTCTTTCCCGGTTGCCCCTCTTCCAGGCCAGCTCTCTGCTGTGGCCAGGGAGTGCAGTGGAGGATGGCCCAAGTACTGGGCCCTGCACCCCATGGGAGACCAGGAAAAGTACCTCGTTCCTGCCATTGGATCTGCGCGGTACGCCGATCGCAGCGCGCTGGCCGTGGTGGCCATTGGAGGGTGAACCAACGGCAAAGGAAGACCCTTTTCTCTGTCTCTCTCACTGTCCACTCTGCCTGTCAAAAAAAAAAAAAGGACATTAACCTCATTGTTAATCAGAGAAAGAACATTGGTACTATAGTGAGATGCAACCACACACCTATAGAATGATTAAAATTGGTCAAAATTAAACTGATAATCCTAATATTTGGCAAATATGTGACCATGTAGGATCATGCTTTGAAAACTGGCACACATTACTCAATGACTCAGAAATCCTAGTTTTACACAAACAGAAATGGGACTTAGGTGTACAAAATAAATATTCAAGAATATACACATCAATATAATTTTAATAGTACTAAACTGAAAACGCAAATATCCATCGATAGTGGAAAGGGCAAATAAATATGGTACAGCAATGAAAAAAAAACAAACTACAGCTACTTAAAAAACAAAACTGATGATTCTATAATTATATTACTTAGTGCAGGAGCCAGACATAACTATACACACACACACATACATATATTTATACACTACATGATTCCATATATTCCTAAAGAGGTAAAAGACAAACAAATCTTTGCTGTTACAAGTCAGAATACAGATGAACTCTGAGGAGGAAGGGATGTTGGCAGGCTAGCTCAAGGGGGCTGCTGGCGCTTTGGAGATGGCCAATTTCTTGCTGTGCATATGTGATGGTGTTATAGACCCTTCCCCCTTGCCATTAAGGAGCCAGTTCCAGGGAATGCTACATACTCCCTCAAGCTTGTTATGAAAGGGCTAGCTGGGTCTAAACAAACCAGTACTGACTTTGAGACCAGTTCCCCAACTGCCATAATCAGTCTCACACCTAAGACCTAACCTCTACCTAAGATAAGACAGTTGTGCGCCTCCTGAAACTGCCTTTAAGTTATAATTTACTGGGTCTTGTATCATAAAACTATCCTACTTTACAGTTGTGATTTGTTAGTTCCTGAGGGTCTCAGATAACAGTGTGCTTCCAGATATTGCCCCAAAACTGCCTAGAAACTACCTGGTTACTGCTTTGCTACATTTAGGCTATAAAAGTAGGGAAACGCAGAGGATTGGGGCTTGACCCTTGAGACTGGAGTCTAGTCAAGCATGCATGCATAAATAAACTGTGTCTTTCCTCCAGAAGCC